GGGACACAGAGGGGAGGGGATGGCCAGATGGAGAGGAGAAACAAACAGAGAGAGGGAGAGAGAGAGAGAGAGAGGGAGAGAGAGAGGGAGAGGGAGAGAGAGAGAGAGAGAGAGAGAGAGAGAGAGAGAGAGAGAGAGAGAGAGAGAGAGAGAGAGAGAGAGAGAGAAGGAGGGAGGGAGAAGGAAAGAGCAAGCCTGAAGGCAGCTATATGAAAGGCTGAGGCCTGAGCTTTCCTCCTTTTCCTTTGGTGGGACAAAGGCCTGGGAGCTGGTCACTGGTCACTCCTTCTGGTCTGGCTGCCACCTTGGTGACAGCTGGGCCACCAGCCTGGGCTATTGTCCCTGGGGAGGGAGCAGACATGGCCCATTGCAGACAGAGGGATCTGGAGGCCTTTGTTGGGGCTCTGGGGAGAAGAGGGGCGGTAAGGATAAAAATGGCAGGCGGGGGAGGGAGGGCCTGCTGTGCCCCATAAAAGCCGAGCTGCCCCAGGCCCAGCATACGCTACAAAAGCACAGCCTCCCACTGGGTCTGGCCTTGGAACCTGATTTTTTCCCACTAACTGCCCCTGATTTATGGAGCCTGGGCCTGCCTGACTCTGGAGAGGGCAGGGAGGAGGGGCTCCTTCTCCCCTCCACTGGCCTCGAAGTGCCCTCTGCCTGGGCTGCAGGCATCCTGCCTCCACTCCCCACCCCCAGCAGACCAACCCCAGAGGCTTCTCTTCCAGAACATCTGGGAGTGTGCCTCCTACCTCTAAAAAAAATTCTTTTGAATACTATAATCTTCCTCTGGAATGCAGAATCATCAGAGCCTTCCATCACCTAGAGTGGAGATAGCCCCTTCCTCGTCTATGATCAGCTTCCATCTATATTCCCACCTGGCTTCTCTGGGCTGTGGCTCAGGGCTCCTCCTATCCTCCAATAAACCTTATTACCTGAGACTGGTCACTCCCTGTGTCCTCTCAGTGGCCCCAGAGAACAAGTGAGGGAGCACAGACTCTTGTCTACCTCTACTAGGAAGGATCTCCCCTCATCTTAAAAAAAAAGTCTGAGCAATTGGCTGAGAGATGAATCTGTCCTAATGAGGCCAACTTCCCATGGCCCCCACACTCAGTCCTGCCCATCCCTCCTAGCAACATGCCCCAAGAACTAACCAAGGGTCAACAGACCCATCTCATGGCTCTCTCATGAGCCAGACAGAATGAGGAGCTCAGCACATGTAAATGTTGGGTGACTTGAAGTCTCAGTCAAAGTGTAGGAGTTATACTAAGTTATAGGACTTTGTCTGGAATGAGAGGACAAGGAGGTTGGGGGTGGAGGGAGGTGGCTGATGACAGAGGTGGACTGCTCCTCCCCAACATCCTACATTCAGACATCCCCCTTTCTGGCTCTACTTTCCAGACCTTCCACCTATCCCAGTATCATTTGAGCTAGTGACCTCAGGTCTGTGCTTCTTCTTTCTCCATCAGGCCCTGTGGACCTCTCTTGTCTTCTCTTGACTCCTTCCCAGCCCAGATGCCCTCTACTGTCTGCTCTCCAGTACCTGCTTTGCTGATCCCCCACTCTCAGCCATCCTGTCTGCCAGCTCCCTGGCAGGGCACCCCGACAAACCTGCTCATCCTTCAAGGCCCTACTTCCCCCTCTAGTCTTGCTGTCCTGAGCTCCAGAGGAGCTTCTACCTCCTCACACTGGACCCATCCTCTCCTCCTCCTCCTTTCCAGTCTCAAAGGCTTATCAGGCCACCCCTCCTATGTGTCATGGCTGACCTCTCTAAATGATCTCTCCCATGCACCTCCTTATCTTCCCCAGGGCTGATCCAAACATTGGCCCTTCTCTCTCTCATCTCCAATGCCTCCCTCCCCTGTGGATCCTTCACCTCTGTCTAAACCTTCTCTAAACTCCGCTATCATAAGAGCCATAACTAGCAATCTGGTGCTGGAGCAGATGTTACAAAAGGCAGGCAGCACCAGAGATGCCCTCAAATCGATTTCTTCTAAAAATGCATTTTATTAAAAACTTCTCCTTTTAGTCACCTCCATTTTACTTTTCCTGCCAGCTAGGTGGATTGGTGGATAGACTATGTGGATCCTGGAGTCCAGAGGACCTGAGTTCAAATCCCCCCACAGTTACCTATGTGCAAGTCGCTAAACTGTCTCAGTTATATCATCAGTAAAACAGAGATGCTCCTCACAGGGCTGTTGGGAGACATCTTTTTCATAATAGACAACTATAGAAATGCTAGGCATTATTATGCCAAATATTACAAAAAGGCCGGGGGTGGGGGAGGTAACAGTTCAACAGAACCAGGCAAGATATTGCTTTAAAAAAAAAAGTAAAGAAAAAGTCTGTTATTGTATGCAGTGTGCCCCATCCCTAGCCCCTCACCTCTGCAAAGAAATGGGGGAGGCACCTTATCGGTCTTTGGAGAAGATGATTTTAATCATTATAATTTCACAGACTCAGAGTTGATCAAATGGACATTTGGGTCAGGGAGAGACCCTGCACTGATCCCTACTGGCCTAAACAGTAAGGCAGGGGAGCAGGAGGAAGAGAGGACGGTTACCTCCCTTAGCTTTCTATGGTAGTTAATGATCCTTGCTGCTCAGGCACTAGAATCACGTGTTCTGTGCCACCCAAGGAGTCTGGGGCTGTTGGCACTGAAGGGGCAAAGCCCGATCTGCCCTTCCCTGCCCCCTCCCCTCTGCCCCCAGCCTCCTTGTCGGTGTCCCCTCTTCAATTGCCAGACTTGAGAGATGCCTGCATTCTCTGCCTCCTCACCCCCTGGTCATTCTGTACCCACTGGCCATGTGATTTCAGGCTCTGCCACTCTCCAAGGTCACCAGGGACCTCCCCACTGGCAAACCCAGTGGCCTGTTTTCTGTCCTTTATGGCCCTGATACCCCAGCTGTTCATCTCCTATGTCTGGTCTCTTCAATGCTCCCCTCTAGACAGTTAAATAGAGGCACTCCCTAGCCTCTTCCATCGATACTTTCTCTCTCTCTCTGTCTCTCTCTCTCTCTCTCTCTCTCTCTCTCTCTCTGTCTCTCTCTCTGTCTCTCTCTCTCTCTCTCTCTCTCTCTCTCTCTCTCTCTCACACACACACACACACACACACACACACATCTGTCCTGCAGAGAACTTAGCTTTTCCCAGGGTTTCAAATATCCCCTTCTATGGGATACTGTCCTCTGAGCTTCAGACCAGCATTTCCAATTGCCCCCAGGGGCAGTTCAGCCTGGATAGATGTCAAGGACCTAGTGGTGGAGGGAAGAGAGAAGCCCCTAGTAGAGCTGTATCATAGGATCATAGATCCAGAGTGGGAAGGGATATCAAAGGTCATTGAGTCTAAATGCTTCATTTTACAGGTAAGGAAACTGAGGCTGCCACATGTTATGTGACATGACCAGCGTATCACAGCCGGGAAGTATCTGGGGGCAGGAGTTAAATCCAAGCCTTCCTGACTCCAAGTCCAATGCTCTAGCCACTATACCACAGCTGACTCCTGAAGGTATAACAGATGAGGAAGGAGGTAAGGACAGAAGGATGGAAGAAAGTGAGGGCAGAGATACAGAGTAAAGTATTGAATGAAAGTAGAGAAGGAAATAAGAGCAGAAGTAGATTGCAGGTGAAGGGAGGTGAGGGCAGAGGGGTGGAGAGAGATAAGGACCAAAGTGTAGAGTGAGGCCAAGGACAAAGGTGTGGCCCTCAGGGGGCCTGGGAGAGCCAGGCCTATGCCTCTCCCTGGCCTCACCTCAAGGCACTCATCTGAGGTGGGTGTGGGGAGATGAGGTCTCTCGGGGACCCTGGCACCTCTGAAGCAGTCTTGACAGGCTGGGCCTGTTTTTCTGGATTTGAGGTTTCATGTTGTCCCTCCCAGGGACCTGGCTCTGATCCAAGCCTTACCATGGCCTCTCATGTCCAGGCCTGGGAGCTCTCAGAGAAGCTCTAGTCAGACCCTGCCCAATACCCAGGCAGGTAGGTCCTCAGGGGTGGAGTTCCCAGCCCAGCTTAGTTTGAGATTCACTTTATCAAGGAACCCCCAGGTATGAAAGAAAGCTCTGTTCTCCTGGCCTGAGGCCAAGGCTGCTGCCTACCACGTGGGAGAAGAGGTCTGAAAGCTCCCAATGTCAAGGGAATAGCTGGCATGTATAGGGTTTGGCTTGGGGCTAAGGATCTGTAGGGCAGGGCTGGGGATGGAAGAGAAATGAAAATATACAGGCAATCTTTCTGAACCCTCAAATTCTACCAGCCTTTCCTGGGCTGGAGGAGCTGGCCAGAGGAGAGTACAGGAAAATGGGGGAAATGTGAATTAGAGAAAATTAGAGACAACGTGGGTGCCTGTGAGAGAGAAATAGAGAGAGTGGGAGGATGAATGTGTGAAAGACTGAGAGGGAGGGAGAGGGAGACAAAGAAGAAAGGAGAGAGAGAGGAAGGAGACAGAGACAGAGGGAAGGAAAGACAGAGAGGGATACAGAGAGACAGAGGAAGGGAGAGGAGAAGAATGGAGGAAGAGGAGGAAAGAGCAAAGGCAAGACAGGGAGTGAGTACATAAAAGTGGGAGTGGGAGGATGAATGTGTGGGAGAGGAAGAGAGAGATCGAGGAGGGAGGATGAGAAAGAGAGGAAAGAGTAGAAGGAGAGAGGGGAAAGGGATAAGAGAAAAAGGGAGGAGAGAGGATAGGAGAGAAGGAAAGAGAGAGATATAATATGAATGTGAGGGTAAGCCTATGGGTGTGTGAGAGGGCAAGGGAAAGTGGGGGAGGGAGGTAGGGGGAGAGAGACAGAGAGAGAGGAGAGAGAGGGAGGAGACAGAGAGGAGAGAGAGAGACAGAGAGGAGAGAGAGGGAGGAGAGAGAGAGAGAGAGAGAGAGAGAGAGAGAGAGAGAGAGAGAGACAGAGAGAGAGGGAGGGAGAGAGAGAGAGAGAGAGAGAGAGAGAGAGAGAGAGAGAGAGAGAGAGAGAGAGAGAGAGAGAGAGAGAGAGAGAGAGAGAGAGAGAGAGAGAGAGAGGGAGAGGGAGACAGAGACAGAGAGACAGAGGCAGAGAGCATACAGGCAATCAGCCTGTCTCCACGAGAGCTGTGGGCACTCAGGTTAGGAGCTGCAGGTGTATCTCTTTCTTCCCAGGACCACACCCAGGCCTCCTTTGGCAGTGAAGCTCAGACAGGGAGCCTTGAACTAGATGGGGGAGGGGGAGGGCAAGTGCCCCACCTGAGTCCTGCCAGGTGTGTTCCAACCCCTCTGAGACTGAGTTGCACCCAAAGATCTCTCCCCACTCCTGCTCATCCCTCAGTAGGGAGTTCCTTGGTTTTAATTAGATTACTAGCTAATGACTGATGGTCGAGCTGACCTTCTCGTACTTTTCCCAGTCGGAGTGTGGAAGAAAGAGGCCCACAGGGAGGTCACCACCCGAGCAAGCATGAGGCCTCCACGCTGAAAAAGGTAAGTACAGTGAAAAAACACTATTGGGAGGTCATCTTATTTTTATTTGGGGGATAACAAAGCTCACAGCCTGAGCTGGGGAGGTAGAGAGGCACATGATTCCCTTTTTTTTCCGGCTGGGGTAGGGGATTGGTTGGGAGAAGAAATGTGCCTCCCTCCTTTCTTTCAAGCAGAGGCTGGACCACCATGCACTGGACGTGTCCCTTCCCAATCCCCAATCCTCTGATTTCCTCTATTTCAGCTCATCTCAGGTTCCCTTCAAGGAGGGAGGGAAATGGCCATCCTTATGCCCCTTGTAAGATAAGCCTGCCAGGAGGGGCCCACCAAGTGAGAAATTATTAACATGATCCAGGCTGGGAATCAGGACACACATACACACACACACACACGCGCACACACGCGCGCACACACACAGAGCAGGGCTCTGCAGTCAAATCCATCCTGGGATCCCTCTTTCCCAAGCCAGGACCAGCCAGCACCTATGTGGACAGCTGCCAGCCTTGGACCCAGGAGCTCAGTTAGGTGGCAACCCCTCACTCATCTTCCTCCTCCCATCAGAGCAGGATTGGTGTATGTGGCAGGGTTTCCTGAGCCATGGCTGGGGAAGATTTTAGATCTGGTCCTCTTGACGGGGTCAGGGGATGGTCTCCCTGACCAGAAGACCCAAATGACACCTTCCTCACCCAGAGGTAGCCATGGATGTATCAAGGAAAAGGGCACCCCTATCTTTGGGCTCCTCACTGGGTAGAGTTGGCGGGTGGAAAGGTGGAGGAGAACAGTGTGCTATGGTTGGGGGTGGGCAGTGGGACTGAGGTGGGCTAGCCAACCACCCGGTAGGAAAGTTCCTGATTGCCTCCAGTCAATCAGCCAATCAATCATCATGCATTTCTTAAGCTCCTCCTTGATCTTGGCCCTGAGGTTACAGACCTAAACAGACCCCTGCCCTCTGGGAGCGTGGATTCCCCCAACTCCGCTGGCTAAAATTGAGGACGTTCACCTCGATCCCTCATCTCCCCTCTTCCTCATCTCCCGTCACTCAGGTACCTTCTGCCACCCCCTCTTCTTCCCTGGCCTCACTCCTTACCAAGGCTGACCCCATTCCATCTCCTCGTCTCCAGCAGACTGCCTCCTCTGTCATCCCTATTCTTTCGCTTCTTTTCTATCCCTCCCTCTGTACCGGCTCCTTCCCTCCTGCCTACAAACATACCTATGTCACCCCCGTCCTGAAAAAACCCTCACTAGATCCTTCCATCCCTGCTGTCTATCATCTGCTTTCTCTTCTGACCTTTGTAACTGAACTCCTCAAAAAGACCTACAATTGGCACTCTCCTGTCACTCTCTGCCCTTACAATCCAGCTTCTGACCTTATCATCCCCCCAAACTGCTCTCTCCCAAGTGACCAGTGTTCACTTAGTTGCCCAGAGCGATGACTTTTTCACAATCTCATTCTCCTTTTCTTCTCTGCAGGCTTTGACCCTGTTGATCACTCACTCCTCTCCAGGTTTTCAGGACACACCCCCCCTTCTCCTCCTGCCTCTCTCACTGCTCCTTCTCTGTCTCCTTTGCTGGATCCTCCTCCCAATCATGGCTTCTGACCAAGGTGTCCCTCAGGGTTCTGTCCTGGGCCCTCTTCTCTTCTTCCTCCATATGACTTCACTTGGGGATCTCATCAGCTCCCATGGATTTAATGACCATCTGTCTCTATCCTGATGATTCTCAAACCTACCTTCCCTGCCCCAGTCTCTCTGCTGACCCTCAATCTCACATCTCCAAATGCCTTTCAACCTGGATGCCCAGTAGCATCTGAAACCCAATATGTCTAAGACAGAACTCATTATCTTTCCACCTTAACCTTCCCTACCTCCCACCTTCCTGTTATTGTAGAGGGCAGTACCTTCCTCCCAGTCCCTCACACTCACAACCCAGAGTCATTCCGGACTCCTCACTCTCTCTCACCCCCCATATCCAAGCTATTGCCAAGGCCTGGCGACATACCTCTGCAGCATCTCCTGAATACACCCCCTTCTCTTTCCTGACGCTGCCCCCACCCTGATCCAGGCCTTGGTCACCTCACACCCGGACTATTACAGTAGCTCCTAGTGGCTCTGCCTGCCTCGAATCTCTCCCCACTCCAGTCCTTCCTCCATCCAGCCACCATAGTGATTGTCCTAAAATGAAGGTCCAATCATGTCAACTCCCTATTCAATAAACTCCAGCAGCTACCTATTGCCTCGAGGATCAACAGCAAAATGCTCCGTGCAGCTTTCAAGGCCCTTCATCACCTAGCCCCTCCTACCTTTGCAGGCTCCTTGTACCTCACTCCCCAACACAGACTCTTCAGTAACTTTGGCCTCCTGGCTATTCCATGAGCAAGACCCTCCATCTCTCAGCTCCTGGCATTGTCTCTGGCTGTCCCCACTCCTGGAATGCCCTCCCTCCTTTGCTCCAGTTTCTGACTTCCCAGCTTCCTTTAAGTCCCACCTCTACAGGAAGCCTTCCCCAAGCCCTCTTCCTTCCAGGGCCTTCCCCTGGTAAATTATCTCCTATTTAACCTGTGTATACTTTGCTTTGTATATATTTGTTTGAAGGATTGCTCTCCCAAAAGATGCTAAGCTCCTGGAGGGCAGAAGCTGTGTTTTGCCTCTTTTTATATCAGCCACTTAGTACGGCACCTGAGGGCACACAGTAGATGCTTAATCAATGTTTATTGATTGATTGCTTTTTCTTCCAATTTCTGCTTATTGAAATCAAGGCATCTTTTAGGTGCCCCCTCCTCCAGGAAGCCAGAGGCCCATCCCCTTCCCCTCTTCCTCCTTTGATTAGAGCCTGTGTCTAACTTGGAAGCACACTTACCTCTCAAAGGCACTCATATTTTGGATTATAGCTGTTTTGGTGTGTTTCCTGTCTCCCTCACCTAGTAGCCCATGGAGCCCAGGGCTCAGCACACTGTAGGAGCTTAATCCAGGGTGGTTGGGTGTGCTGGGTCTGCACTGTAGCATCTGACAGAGGGGGTCTGAGGGGAGGCCTAGGAGGGGTGGGTGTGTTGTTCCAAGCTCCAGACTGTACCCTCCTGGAGTTTGGCTTTTCTGGGAGGCCACAGGAAAGCATGACAAAGCAAGAGATATCTAGAAGGGGGTTACTGCCTCCCTTCTTGCTGGAGGACAGCCCAGAGGCTGCTCAGGATGGCTGGGAGGAGAGGCTGACCTCCTGCCTACTTGGTAGAACAGAAGGGAGGATAGTATCCTGTCTGACATACCTGTTGAGGGTGGGAGGAGGGAAGAGCACCATTGTACCTGGTGGGGATGGGGGGAAGAGGGGCTAGCACTGTCTTGAGTAGACCTCTACTCTCTGCAAGGTGGAGGAGGTAGAAGCTCAGTCTTTTCTGCTGGGATGGAGGAGCATTGTCTTAGCTATTGGCCAGGACAGAGGGCCGCCATCTTACCTGCTGAGGATGGGGAGAAGATCTGAGAGAAGAAGCAGGCCTAGGCACACCCCTTTTATATGAACAAAGAGATACTTTTCCCCCTATTATATTTAACTTTTCCCAATTACATGAAAAGACAAATTTTAACATTCATCTTAAAAAATTTTTGAGTTCCAAACTTTCTCCTTCCCTTCCTCCCTCAACTCCCCCCCTCCCTAAGATGGCAAGCAATTTGAAATAAGCTTCTTCTTTGGAACAGAAATTCCTCCATTTCTCTGCAGCCTCCCCCACCTCTCTGAAGCCCCAGAGGAATAGCTGACAAGTGCAGGCTGCTTCGCTTTCCTCCCACTCCCTGAAAGAAGTGCCTTTTATCCACTCCAGCCCCCTTCCAATTCTGCAACCATAATCAGATCAGTAGAGTTACTGCTCCTAGAAAGGACGGGTCAATCTACTCCCCAATGGCTCCACTTCCAGTCCCTGTAACTCTCCAATCCTGGCCAGGACCCCACTCCCCACATGTCTAGTCTCCCCCCCATTAGAATGTAATGGTCATGGATTGTCTCCTCCTTTTATTTATGTCCACAGTACTTGCCACATAGTAAGCAGCTAGGTGGTCTAGTGGATAGGGCACTGGGTCTAGAGTCAGGAAGACCTGAGTTCAAATGCAGCCTTAGACATTTCATAGCTGTGAGACCCTGGGCAAGTCAATGAACCCTGTTTGCCTCAGTTTCCTTATCTCTAAAAATGAGTTGCAGAAGGAAATGGTGAACCACTCTGGCATCTCTGCCACGAAAACTCCAAATGGGGTCAAGAGGTTTGGATATGACTGGACAACGACAAGGCGATTAATAGCTGCTTCGTTACTCTGTGCTGATCTAAGGTACTGTCCCTTTACCAGATGGACATTTTATTTGCCAAGGGTCCAAAAAAGGACCTCATTTAAGAAAAGCTGCTTGAGAGAGAGTTCTGGGGACCTGAAAGAAGACTGCCTCTCAGACAGATGGACTGAGAAGACTGAAAGCTGAGCAGGCTCAGGAGCCCTGACTACAGGTAGGGGAGGCAGCAGTTCGTAGGAGCATAGAAGGGACCTCAAGGGTCCACCCCCCCATTTAACAGATGAGGAAACTGAGGCCTTGACTTGGCCAACATCACACAGGTAGTCAGCAACTGAATTCAACTGAGTAACCTGACCTCTCTTTCCATAGCATCAAGGCTAGGATTCCCTGGGCAAGTTGTCTCTAGCTTTCTGCTTGCCCCAACCAGGCTCCAGGCAGGGAGAGGTCTGAGAGTCTATGCCTCAGTCGGCTCCATTCTGCCCCCTTGGCTCCTTACCATGGATGTTCCAACATGTTTGCCCTTCACAGGGCCCCCTCCCCCATCCCATACCTAGAATCCTCCAATCCATAGGCGAGCATTAATTAAGCACCTACTACATGCCAGGCACTCTGCTAGGAACTATGGGTACAAAGGGGAAAATGAGGCAACCTGACCCCAAGAAGCTTACGTGCCTTCTAATCAGAGAATCACCATATTAGAAGGGATCTAGGTCATAGAGTCCAACCCATACCTGAAAAAAAGAATCTATCTGAAGCACTCTAGAGGAGTGAAGACCTCTGACCAGGGGACTCTCTAGCTCACGGCAGGCCATTCCACATGTTCTTCTTGACCGCCCTCCTGACTTCAGGGCTGGTGCTCTATTCATGGCGCCACTGGCCTCCCTCTAACGCCCTCCCCTTGCTGCTGGCTTTGCACCTCCCTCTCCAGGCTCTGAGACTCCTGATTCCTCTATACTCAGAGGTCTTCTCACCCTGTATGACCTCTCCTCCCAGTGGCTCTTTCCTCTGATTGGTCAGTTCTCCCCAGAATCTCTGTTGTATGGAAGACCCAGGCCAGCCGAGTTCACTCTTTCATTCATCTCTACCCTACCCTTCATACTCTCCCAATTTTGTGTCCCACTCCATCCAGTACCGCCTTCCTCCAGCCTTCCTCCACTTCCACATTCAGTTCTTCTTTATATATTGGAATGTAAGTCCCTTGAGGGCAAAAACTCTTTCTGCTAGAATTTGTATTCCCAGCCCCTAACATATGCTTAGCATATAGTAAGTGCCTAATGAATGCTTGTTGACTTTCTTTTCCTTTCCTGGGGTGGGGAGGGAGAGCTAGCACAACTGGGAATTTCTTTTTCACATAACCGCCCCTCAGACAATTGAAGACAGCTCTTACAGAGGCTCACAGCTTTAGAACTGGGAGGGGCTTTAAGGGTCATCATCCTTTTATTACCAATGAGGAAACTGAGACCTGGAATTTAAGAGATTTGCCCTCTGTCATCCAACTATTATAAATATCAGAGGCAGGATCTGGCCTCTGGCATTCCTGATCTAGGTCAAGGTCACACTCTGTCCCCTCCAGAAGTGTTCTCTTCTGGCTAAGTATCCCCATTTCCTTCCATTGATCTTTATAGGGCATAAATCCGAGGCCCTCCACCATAGAGAAGGTTCCTCTTTAGATATCACTGACAATAGTTAGCAGCGACAATCACCTGTTATTTTGTTGGGATTGAGTTCATTCCAGGCCTTCCATGGGCTCTGAACATGTTCAGATTGTCCTTCTGCTCATTTGGGGTTTCAAACAAATTTGGGGGTCTGTTTTGTCTCAGAAAAGAAAGAGGGAAAGAGGAAAGGAAGAAAGGAGAGGAGGGAAGATTTCCCAGCAAGTTGTCTCTGGTATGTTCTGGTGTGGACAGGCAGGGTTGTGACAGGGATAGACTGTATGATTGCGAGGTCAAAACAAATCAATAAGGTATTTATTAAGTATCTACTGCATACCTGACACTGTAAGAACGCAAAGAAAGGCAAAAAACATCCCATTCTCTCAAGTTGCTGTTACTCTGGTGGGGGAGGACAACATACTAGCAACTAGGAACAAACGCAGCGAGGTGGTGAGGTGTATAGAGCCCAGGCCTGGAGTCAGGAAGACCTGAGTTCAAATCCAGCCTCAGACATTTGGTGGCTGTGTGACCCTAGGCAAATCACTTCACCCTGTGTGCCTCAGTTTCCTCATCTGTAAAATGAACTGCAGAAGGAAATGGCAAATGACTCCTGTCTCTTTGCCAAGAAAACCCAAATGGGGTCACGAAGAGTGGGATACAACTGAAATGACTAAATAACAACCCCAAACAAGACACAGACAGGATAAACTGGAGAAAATTTAGCAATAATGGAGCTTTCCAAAGGCTTCTTGCAGAAGGTGAGATGGAGGGTGGGGTAGAGGCAGAGCATTCCAGCCATGGGGGGACAGCCAGGGCAAAAAGAGTTGGGAGAGGGAGAGGGGGTGTATTGTTAGATGAAAGAAGGGGGCCAATGTCACTGGATTCCAGAATAGGTAAAGGGGGAGTAAGGCCTAAGAAGACAAGAAAGGGAAGGGGGGGGTAAGATTATGTTCAGTCCTGTCTGACTCCCATTTGGGGTTTTCTTGGCAAAGATGCTGGCATGATTTGCCATTTCCTTCTCCAGCTCCTTTCACAGATGAGGAAACTGAGGCAAACAGGGTGAAATGACTTTCCCGGGGTCACAGAGCTAGGAAGTATCTGCAGCAGGATTTGAACTCAGGTATTCCTGACTCCAGGACCTGTGCTCTGTCCAGTGCAGCACTTAGCTGCCCAGATTATGGAGGGCTTCAAAAGGCAAACAAATATCTGGTATTAGAGGTGATAGGAGCCACGGGTGTTCAGAGTAGGTGTAGGAGGTGAAACGGTCAAATCACTTTGGTGGGCGAAGGGAGGATGAATTGGAGGGGGAGAAACCTGAGGCAGCAAGATGAAGCAGCAGCTATTGTAATAGTGCAGGCTTGAGGTGATGAGGGCCATCCCCCAGCTAGCTGAAGGATCAGAGGAGAGAAGGCAACATATAGGGAGATGTTGCAAGAGGAGAATTGACAGAATTTAACAACATAGTGGATAGTGAGGCAATGAGAGGAGGTGTGAAGTTTTGAGTCTGAATGACTAGGAAAATAATGGTGCCTCAACAGTACTAGGGGGGCAGCTAGGTGGTGCAGTGGATAGAGCACTGGCCCTGGAGTCAGGAGGACCTGAGTTCAAATTCAGCCTCAGACACTTGACATCAGCTGTGTGACCCTGGGCAAGTCACTTAACCCCAATTGCCTCACCAAAAAATAAAATAAAATAAAATAAAATAAAAACAGTAATAGAAAAGCTTGAAAAGGGAAGGAGTACAGTTTTGGACAGGTTGAGTTTAAGCTCCTTTCAGGATGTCCAAGAGATAGTGGAAGATTTGAGACTGGCGGTCAGGAGAGGAGATAGGGCTGAATAAGGAAGATCTGAGTTCAAATCAGGCTTCAGACACTCACTAGATTTGTGACCCCGGGTAAGTCACGTCACCCGCTTTTGCCTCAGTTTCCACATCTGTAAAATGAGCTGGAGAAGGAAATGGAAAACCACTCCAGGATCTTTGTCAAGAAAATCCCAGTGGGGTCATAAAGAGTTGGAGGAGACTGAAACCATTGAATAACAAATAGATCTGAGGATTATTTAAATAGAGATAATAATTGAGTCCAAGAGAGCCAATGAGATCACCAAGTGAAATAGTGTGGAGAGAGAAGAGGGCTAGCATGGTTAGCAGGCATGACCTGAAGAGCCAACAAAGGACACAGAGAAGGAACAGAGGGGGCAGATAGGAAGATAACTAGGAGAGAGCCAAGAGTGAAGTGAATTATCAAGAAAAAGAAGGTGGTCAACAGCATGAAAGGCTGCAGGGAAGTAAAGAAGGATGAGAAAAAGGCATCAGGTCGCACAATAAAGAGATTATTGGTAACTGGAATTGCAGCTGGATGATAAGGTCAGAAGCCAGACTGAAAAAGAATGAAGAAGAGAATGAGGGGAAAGGGATTGGAGAGGGCCTCCTCCCACAGAAGGAAGGAGAGAAATGGGATGACAGCTTGCAGGGACGGACAGATTCAGTGAGTGTTTTTTGAGGATGAGGGAGAGACATGAGCATGTTTGTAGGCGGCAGGGAAGCAGTCAGTAGATGAGGAGAAATCAAAGATAAATGGGAAGGGAACCATTGCCTGGAGGAACTGGATAGAGTAGGATCCCTTGTGCCTGATCAGATTAGAGAATTCCAGAGTTCATGAATCTGGAGGTGAAGCATTTGTGGGTGAAGGAAGATTGAGGGTATACCCATCTCTCTGTGTTGCTAAGGTTGGGTGGAAGAGTGGGCTATGGGAAATGAGGAAGTTGAAGAACTGGGAAGTGTTTGAGTGTAAATCAGTCTGTATGTGGAAGCTCAGGAGTTAGAGAGGACAGAAAGACTTTGAACCATATACTGACTTCATTGAGGAAGGAAAGAGAGTGTCCTGGAGGTGTGCAGATAATAGCCACCAGAATCTTGATTGGGGGATTAATATGGGTTGAATCAGCCTCCAGGAAGAAGAGGTGACTGAGTCACGCTGAAAAACAAATGGCCATAAGGAGCCAAGAGCATTCTAACTTCCCTTACCAATTTTTTTTCCTGGCAAAGCTGCCCTCTATCAGCCTGTCCCCTTGAGGGACAACTTGGAACTCTGCCTCTACTCTTTTTGGGGTTTTTTGCCTTTTTGGTGATGCAATCAGGGTTAAGTGACTTGCCCAGGGTCACACAGCTAGTAAGTGTCAAGTGTTTGGGGTCTGAGGTCAGATTTGAACTCAGGTCCTCCTGACTTCAGGGCTCGTTCTCTATCCACTGTACCACCTAGCTGTCTGCCTCCATTCTTGTGCTCTGGCTGACAGTAGACCACATGGGGTATTCCCACTCCAGGCCTTTGGACAGGAACCGCCTTCAGGTCCAGGACTGGGATGAGGTCTGATGGTCAGGCTGGTTGGATTATGAGAGAGAGTGACTCTTTCTGGCTGGGAGGCCTTTCCCTGGACCTAGGACCACCCAAGACTAATTTGGTTTTGTTATTTTGGGGTTTTTTTTAACTCATATACAATTTTAGGCTTGGGTGTAGAAGCCCCTAAGCTACTGTGCTTTGCTTCTGGTCATCAGGAGTTAAGTCACTTCAACTCAACCAGCATCTATTAAGTACCTACTATGTTCCAGGGACTGTGCTAGGCACCTTCCCCTGCCCTCAGTGGAGCTCATATTCCAGGTATTTGCCTGTTCTCAACCTAAACTGCCAAGCATTCAAACTCTGCTTCAGAGAGGATTGGCTGGCTACATTATCAGAATGCAAGACCTACACTTGCCAAAAAGACTATTTTATGGAGAACTCACACAGGGCAAGCATTCACATGGTGGTCAGAAGAAGCAATACAAGGACACTCTCAAAGTCCCTCTTAAGAACTTTGGAATTGATTGTGTGATGTGAGAGACATTGTCACAGGACCGCCCAGCATGGCACAACCTCATCAGAGAAGGTGTTGTGCTCTATGAGCAAAGCAGAATTGAGGTAGCTCAAGAGAAACCCAAGATGTGCAAACTCAGAGAATCCACCCCAGAGGTTCACAAGGACTATTTGTGCCAGACCTTTGTAGAACATTCTGAGCTCGAATTGGTCTGATCAGCCACAGTCGCAACACTAAAACTTACTCTGACATAATCATGTCATTCTGGTTGTTTTCTAGGAGTAGGGGGGATCATGGGATCATAGACTGATGACTGGCAGGAACATTAGATACCACCTAGTCAATTAATCAACAAACATTTATTAAGTCCTACTGTGTGCTGGGCACTGGCTCTAAGATCTGGTAAAAATAAACACAAAAATCAATCAGCAAATCATTGTCTTAAAAACTGAACAGCTTTGAGTTAGCTCTAGGGCTCTGATACCTGAAATGATGAGATCTCCCACACCCTCAGGGACCTTTCATTCAATTCAGTTCAGTTTCATAGACCTACTTTAGGCGCTTTGGATGTTTGTAGGCCCTGGGCTAGGTGCTAGATGTACCAAGACAAAAGTGATCCATTCTCTGCCCTCAAGGAGCTTCCATTCTGTGGTGGTAGATAGTATACAAAAGGTATTTACTCCCAAACTTTTAGCCCAAAGCCTGTTTACTGTGACTGGAGGACCTTGGAGAATGTAACTTTCCTTCTCAGTGGCACCACTGTCCAGAGTGCTGAATGCTTCTTGTGGTCCTTGACATCTAGGCAGGCTCCTTCCATGCTTCTTACTCCCAAGACACTTTTCCCAAAAGATGCTTTATAATAGAACATGTCTCTTTCCTTCCCACTCTTTCCAATTCTAGACTTAAAATCAACAAATCAATGCTGCCTCCAATTAATGTGGCCAATTTGCTCTTCCCCATGATGACATTCCATCTTCTATTCCCCCATGCCTTTTCCCTGATGGTCTCCCATGCCTGGAATGCTTTGCCTTCTCACCCCCTACTTCTAAATTTCCCCAGCGTTCCTTCAAGAATCTGCTACAATCCCACCTTTAACATCCCCTCCCCGGCTGCTAACACTTCCCCTTTCAGACAACCTTCAAATAGTCTGTGTATGTCTCTTGTACTTACCAAGATGATAAAGATTATCTCATTAGAGCATTCAAACTCTACTGCAGAGAGCACAGTTCCAATGGACTGGCCCCTTTGTTCAAATGCCAAATGTACATTTGTCTACATGACTATTTTGCTGAGAATTCACACAAGCTCACATAGACGTCAGAAGACAAGGACACTCTCAAAGTCTCTCTGAAGAAGTCTGGAATTAATTGTGAGATGTGGGAGACACTGGCAGAGGACCACCTAGCATGGAGTGCCCACATCAAAGAAGGTGCTGTGCTCTATGAGCAAAGCAGAAGCACAGTAGCTCAAAAGAAATGAGAGTTGCGCAGATTTAGAGCCATCTCCACTCCAAATGTTCATGTGCACTATTTGTGCCCAAGCTGTGGAAGAGCCTCCAAAGCTTGTACTGGTCTGATCAGCTGCAGTCAGATACAGGGTACCTTGTATCTCTTCTTCCAACCTGCATGTGAATTCTAGGCTGGTATGACTTCTCTTTAAAATAGTCTTTTAGGCAGACACACTTTTGGCATTCCGCCATTGGAGTTGTGCTCTCTGCAGTAGCATTTGAATGGTTTGCAGTTTAGCTCAAGAAATGACCTCAGTGTCTGGTATCTTATCCTGCAATGTGACCTTCAGACTCTTCCTAAGACAATTCAAATAGAAGTCATTCATTTTCCTGGAATGGTGCTGGCGGACTATGCAGGTTTCACAGGCATATAACAGTGAAGTCAGCACAATGGCTCTATAGACTTTCAGTCTGGTAGGTAGCCTAATACCTCTTCTCTCCCCTGCTTTCCTTCAGAGATTTCCAAATACTGAGCTAGTTCTGGCAATGTGTGCATCAATTTCATCATCTATGTGGACACCCCTGGAAAATATACTGACAAGGTAGGTGAACTTATCCACAGTATTCAACATTTCTCCATTTATTGTAACCAATGTTTCCACATATGGATGGTGTGGTGCTGGCTGGTGGAGAAGCTGTGTTTTCTTGGTGTTAATTGCTAGTCCAAAATTAACGTGAGCAGCAGAGAACCAATCCCTACTCTATTGCGTCTCAGCCTCAGAGGCTATATTGAGTGCACAATCATCTGCAAATAAAAGAAATCATGCACCAACTCTCCCTGTACTTTAGTCTTGGCTTGTAGCCTTTTAAAGCTAAATAATTTATTGTCAATGTGGTAGCTGACCTTGATGCTATTTTCTTTCATCCTTGTTGGAAGCATCTGATAACCTTGCTGAAAACAGCATTCTAAAAAGCATGGGAGCAAGCATACAGCCTTGCTTACTCCATTGGTGATTGGGAAAATGAGAGAGCATCGTCCATTATCCGGAGCTGCGCAAGCATGCCACCATGGAACTGGTGTAAAATACTGATGAACTTTTCTGAGCAACCAAATTTTTACATCATTTTCCGCAAGCCCTCATGAGTGACAGTATCAAAGGACTTGGTCAGATCAATGAACATTGTGTACAGACCTCTGTTGTGCTATTGGCATTTCTTCTGGAATTGTTGGGCAGCAAACACCATATTGACTGTTCTTTGGCTCTTTCTGAAGCCATGCTGGCTCTCAGGTAGATGACCATCTTCCAGGTGAAGGATCAGCCTATTAAGGAGGACTCTGGCAAGAATCTTGCCAGCAATGACTGAGAGAGAGAGAGACCCCTCCCCTTGTGATTGTCACAGAACAATCTATTTCCTTTACCTTTATAGAGATGGACAATGGAGTCATCCTTGAACTCCTAGGGGATAATCTCCTCTTGACATATAACCCAGAAAATTTCAGTCAGCTTTTGTATAAGCTCCTACCTTATAAATCTCAGTTGGAATACAATCAGCACCAGATGCTTTGCCACATGAAAGGAGGCTAATGGCATTCAGAACCTCTTCTTCAGTAGGAAATTTGGCTAAAGAAGAATTGACTTCAACCTGAAGTATATCATCAGTGGCTTCGGCATTGATTGATGACAGACTGTTAAGAACACTATGGAAGTGTTCAGCCCATCTCTCCAGGATCGTGTCTTTATCACTAATTAATGTGGCTCTATCAGCACTGAGTAGCTGAGATCAGGGTATCATAAAAGTACTTTGGATTGTTACTAATAGCATAAAACTGAATCTCATTTGCCTTCTTACTGAGAATCCTGCATCTCTCTAAGGTTCACTTGCACTTTATTTTTAATGGAGTTAAATGCTGCTTTCTTAGAGATGGATGAACTATTCTACTAGTAAACCTTGTAGAGTACTCGTTTTTTCATTTAGCAGCTTCTGAATTTCCCCATCATTCTTGTCGAACCAGTCTGGGTGTTTGGAACTGTTCTGACCCAGATGAGCAAATGCGGTGCTGTACACCAAATATCTGAAAGCTGCCCTCTGCTTTTCTGTTGCACTGTTTTCAATTGTCTGTTGGCTCAGCTTTCCCTCCAACTTAACAATGAACTGTTCTGCTGAAATAAGCTCTCTAATCTGTTGACATTAATTCTTCTGGTAGTCTTTTTGCCATGGGGCCACTGCTTTTGTTGAATGGGAATATTTATCTTGGAAAGGATAAGTCTATGATCTGTCCAGCACTGCATCACACATCATCTCCTTTGTCGCTCTCACATCCTGTCTCTCTTCTCTTTATAATGACATAGTCTATTAAATGCCAATGTTTGCTGCAAGGGTATATCCACAAAGTTTTATTGCATTTAGGTAAATGGAAGACAGTGTCAGTGATGAGAAGGTCATGAGATACACAAATCTTCAGTAATAAGTGACCATTGCTGTTTCTGTTTCTGACTCATTTCCCCCAAGGATTCCCTGCCATGTCTGGTACTCTATGCCTACTCTTTTGGCACATGAGTGATGAGGGTCTCCAGGTCTTCATAAAATTTTTCTTTGATCTTCTCAGGGTGGTTATCGTTTGTTGTTAGTTCTCAAAGAGGACCATGAGATCAGGAAAGTGATGCCATGACATGCAAGTGAATTGGATTTAAGTGAGAGGGGGGCTGTGCAAAGTTGCCAGCTTTACTTTCTTCTCAGGAGCCATCTGAGTCCAGTAGCAAGATATAGATCAGAATGACTGGAGATGGCCCTGGATGCAGTGGGAGACCTTGGCCTTTTTAAGCTAAGGTCTTCAACAGGTCATAGTTTGACTGAGACAGTGTCCTTTCAGTGATTAAGGCTAGGTTAGAAATGAAGCAGAGAATGGCCTTTTTTACCTAATTAAAAAAAAATCAATCTGGGAGGGGAAGATCCTCAGGGTTTCTGGGCAAAACAGAAACAATTGCTATTTACATTCACTCTGAGCCAATCAGGGCCCAAACAATGACCAAGTGAGGTTTGAGCTGGGACCTATTGGCCAGTTGATGAGAGCCAGAGTGATTTGGGTTTAAGGCATGGTCCTCGACTGGTAGGAGCATATGCACTGATGATGGTGGCATGGAGATTTCCTGCAAGTGGCAATTGTATTTTCATGAGCCTGATGCTCACTCCTTTTGGTAGACTACAAACTTGTTGACTATATTAGTCAAACCTAAGCCAGCTTCAAAGCGCTCCCCTTCACTGCAGCCACTCCAGAAAAATGTGTGCCCAGCTCCGACTTTGGTAAACTGGCCTTCATTTACCGGCCTTGTTTCACTCAGGGCTGCTATTTGGACGTCATACCTGCTGGGTTCTGTCTCAACAAGAGCTGTTTGTCTTTCAGATCCACTGGATTTTTGTATTGTCCATAAGTGTGAGCACATTCCACATACCCATGGTAAGTGAAATCATCTCTGCAAAAGTTTTTGCATATTTTTTTGTGTTTTGACCGCAGGGTGGCATCCTTGCATGCTACAGTAATCAGACCTAGATTGGGTAAGCAATTTTTAAGGCACATTTTGTAGCCCCTTCCTCACACCAGTAGGTGAGCAGGGCAATACTTTTATTTTTAGTAAGGCAATGGGGGTTAAGTGACTTGCCCAGAGTCACACAGCTAGTGAGTGTTATGTGTCTGAGACCAGATTTGAACTCAGGTCCTCCTGACTCCAGGGCTGGCGCTCTATCCACTGCGCCACCTAGCTGCCCCTAGCAGTGCAATCCTTAAAAGGCTGCTTAGGCACCCAGGGACACCCATCCTACTACTACTTTCAGTGAGAAGATGACCCTATGGCCTGGGCTGTCTTTGGGCAGGATTGTGACTACAGCTCCCAGTGTATCCACACCTGCTGCTTCATCACTTGCCTGTCTCCATAGAACTTTGAGATAGGTAGAAAGAGTAAAATGGTATGGGTGATGTCTTTTGATTTGGGTATAAATTGGATTTAAGTGAGGCAGAGTTGCACAAAGTTTTCAGCCCCACTCTCTCTTCCAGTCATCACAGTCCAGTGGCAGGACAGAGTCAAGATGACTGGTTTGAGATGCAGTGGATGACCTTGGCATCTTCAATGTCTAAGCAAGCTCTAAGCACTCCACAGAGCCTGCTTCAGCTGCCTTCATGGCCTTTGGAACAAATTGTTCTCATCTGCCCATTCCACCAAGGGAAGTTTCACATGCCTGGGGTAGAGACGCCCTAATTCACCAAAGGGAGACCCCTGGTTTAGCCTGTATGCCTGGACAGGTTACTAGGACGTGGCTGCTGCACATGCTACAGCTTGAAGCCACAGGTGAGAGTTGGATGAATCAGGACACCAATGGAGGAAGAACAGCCCTCACACCAGATATGCTAGACTTCAAGGCAATTTTTTTTGAGGGAACAGGGCTAGTACCAGTAGAGATGAAGAAAGGCTTCATAAAGAAAGAGAACCTTGAGCTGAACTATGAAGGAAATTGGGGGTTCTAAGAAGACACAGAGAGAAGGGAGGACTCCCCAGAAATGGGAAAGTGTCTGCGCAAAGGCACAGCGAGAGAAGAGGAAGCCAGGGCGCAGAGTCAGGGGCAGCACAAAGACCAGTTTGGTTTGACCTAAACATAGCAAAAAAAGAAAAAAACAAACAAAACCCTCCTCCAAACCCCTGACACAGTTCCTGCCTTCAAAGGAGTTTTTACAGATTTCAATTCAATCAATCATTTTTAATGAATAGAACAATGGCTTCATCTGTGGAAGTAGAAAACGATTTAAAGATGGCCCCAAAATGATGGAACTGAATGTGGTGGAATGTGGTGTAAGCATAGCTTAGCTCCAAAGGGTGAGGAGAAGAGCCTTCGCCCTGCTCACATCTTTGCAGAGTTCCGTAGGTAAGAGACTCACAGCAGCAAGTCAGAGTTTTTTGATGTCTTGATTGGTTTGGCTGAAATTTTTTTTTGTCTTCCTCCTATGGAAAAAAAATATCTTTGTTATAACTAGTGGTTATAGGGAAGGGGAGGAGGAAGGGAGGAGGGACAAAAATCTAGGTGATAGAGGAAAGGGAAAGGAATACGTATTTATCACTTGCCTACATCATATAATCACCTACTATGTGCCAGGCACTGTGCCTAGTGCTGGGGATACAAAAAGAGGTAAAAGATAGTCCCTGCCCTCAAGGAGTTTACAATCTAATAGGCAAGACAACGTGCTGACAAATATATACAAAACAAGCTATCTACAGGATAAATTGAAAAACTAACAGAATTTACATTTGATTAATAATTATAATATTATAAGTAATTGACAGACTTTATATCTCATTTGATCCTCAGAACAACCTTGAGAGGTAGGTACTATTGTGAACCCCAATTTATAGTTGATAAAACTGCCCAGGGCCAGATTTGAACTTAAGTCTTCCAGACTTCAGGCCCAGTTCTCTATCCCCTGAGCCAACCAGCTGCACTTAAAGAAATACAAAAACAAAACAAAAAGCAGTTGAAAAAAACCACCCCTTGTTTAAAAAAAAGAAAAATACAAGCTCACTCAGGCTACAGTAAAAATTAGTTACTAAAGTAATAAAATGGATAGAGCCCTGGACCTGGGATGAGGGGTAACTGGGGTGGGGCAGAGCCCTACCAGTTCCTGAGACAGCCCATTTCCTCTTTGGAATAGCTCTCTCATTGCTAGGAAATTTTTCCTGAAAGCAAACCTAACTCTGCCACTTTACCAGTCCCTTTACCAGCTGTGTGACTGGAGCTAACATCTCTCTGGGCCTCAGGCAATAATTACAACTCACATTTACATCTTTTATTTATTTATATATTTTTCTAAATTTTATGAAATACAAACATTTTTATCATCACAGCAACCCAGGGAGGTAAATGCTATTATTATCACCATTTTACAGGTGAGGAAATTGAGGCAGACAGAGGTTAAGAGACTTTCCCCGATTTAAACTCAGGGCTTCTGGACTCCAGGCCTAGAGCTCTGTGCCAAGTATCTACCTAAGGGCTTGGAGCTAATACAAAAACAAATACATAAATTATAAATACAAACAGATACAGACACACCAGCTCTGTATACAGAGGGATACAAATCTATACATATAGAAATAGACACCAACATAGATACACCAGTTCTCACATCAACATATATAGAAATAGACATACTTGGACACATGACACTTACTAGCTGTGTGACCCTGGGCAATTCACTTAAGCCCCAGTTGCCTCACTAAAAAGCAAAAAAAAAAAATAGACATAGACATACCAGCTCCATACACAGAAGGACTCACATCTACATATATAGAAATAGACAGAGACACCAACATAGACACAGACCTACTAGAACTGCACACACAGGGACTTACATCTACACATATAGAAATGGATATAGACACCAACATAGACACAGACCTACTAGAACTGCACACACAGGGACTTACATCTACACATATAGAAATAGACATAGACACCAACATAGACACAGACCTACTAGAACTGCACACACATGGGCTCACATCTACAGACATACAGATACTAGATGCACTCATTGTCTTTGGGGACATAGTGTATGTGACACTACCTGTGAAATCACAGCAACAGGGTGCTATAATGTGTAGCATTCTGGACTTGGAGTCAGGAAGACTTGGGTTCAAATTCTGTCTGCTGTTGTGTGACTATAAAAAGGTAAGTTAATGTTTCTGAGCCTCTATTTCCTCAGCTGTAAAATAAGATCTAGAGAGTTGCCTATCTAGTTGGGTGGTTAGGAGGACCAAAAGAAAATAATGAATTTTTTAAAAAGCCTCAAGCCCTAGGTAAATGGTTTTGAAAGCAAGATAACCCCTGACCTCAAAGAATTTATATACTATTTGGGGAAGAGGATACAAGTGATGAGTGAATGTTTTAGTCTGGGAAGTTAAGAGGGTACTAAATGCAGAAGTGATATTGATGTGATATTTCCATAGCAATATTTATATTGGTTATTATTCTGAAAAGGAGGTGGTGGTAGTACTGTTGGGTGGCTGTCAGGAAGATGGCCAGACAGTTGAGGGAAGTGATTCTGCCTAGATTTGATGGGTCCTTGAGATGCTCACTGACCAATCTAGACTACAAGACCCCAGAGTAAGAATTTGAAGTCTTTTACAGACATAAAAGTGTTATTTTTATCAATTGAAGTGTTATTTTTATGTACCTCCCACAGCCCTAGGGTTCTTAAGATGGAGATAACAATGTGGGTAGCATCTACCTTTCAAGGTTCTTCTAAGGATCCAGAAAACTTTTTAAAAGTACTTTATAACATTTACCTATATAAATGTTAGTTGGTTTTTTCTACCCCAGTCAGCCTAGTATAGGGTCTAATCTCTGTGCTTAAGAGAGGGCTATTCATGGCCTCTAGGGTAGGAGGAGTTTACGGTACTGAAATAAACAAAATATAATTCAATTCAACAACCACATATTAAGCTCAGTTTAGGGGATACAAAGATAAGAAATTCTGGTAGTAGAGAAGCTGACTTTCTACTAAGGTGGGGAGGGAGATAAGTAAATGCAAGATATGTTCAAGAAACTGAAATAGCAAACAGTTCAAATGGAAGAAGGATTCCCAGTGTATGATAAAAGCTTACAGATCCTTCTGTTTTCAGATGATATCATACTGGTTACATCAATCCCAGGCACACTGCAGAGCATCCTAGAAAAGATCTATAACCACTCAAAAGAATTGGTCTAGCCATCCACACAGGAAAAAACAAGTGGATGAAAAAGGTCTTTGTCCAGATTATGACATCAAAAATCATGTTATTCCTAATGAGCTATTCGCTGGAAAGCCAATGTTTTGTAAGACTGTACTGGATTTTACTAAGTCTTTATTACTGCAAGTTTAAGCAGCGTTACCTAGGAAACCTCCACAAGTGTCTTGGAACCTGGGAAGTCAATCAGTTGGAACAAATCTCTCTTTAAAAGCAGCAGAAACAAGGCATAAAGCCAGGTACTGTTCCAGGTATTGTTAACAACTGACTTAAACACACTAATATGATGATTCAGGGATGTATGCAGACCCCTTTGACACAGAAATTTCAAGGGAAAATGTTTCCCAGAATCAGATGACTTCATGAAGTAGGCAACTAACCCCAAGACAATGGACTAAGAAGCCTGTTGAAATGGACATTAACATGCATTCCTGTTCCCTGTTCTATCTTGTCTTCCTGATTATAGTTATGTTAATTGACCATTGTTTGACATAATGCCCTAACCCTTATAGAAAAGGACCTAAATGTCAGTTTTAGAATACCACTAGGCAGCTGGGTGGCATAATGGATAGGGTCAGGAAGACCTGAGTTCAAAACAGCCTCAAACACTTACTAGCTGTATAATCCTGGTTAAGTCACCTAACCCTGTTTGCCTCAGTTTTCTCATCTGTAAAATGAGCTAGAGAAGGAAATGGACAAACCAGTCCAGTACCTTTGCCAAGGAAACCCCAAAAGAAGAGTTAGACATGACTGAAATGACTGAACAACAAGAAAGTTTAAATCCAGGCCATCAACTACTAGCTCCTTGTTCATTTCACTCCATTCTGTGAATGGGAGCACCATAGTCTCTGTAAGGTCCTATTCATCAAGGTCTGGGTTCTCCACCTCTGAGCACAGATAACTTTGCAAATAGTCTTAAAGCAGCCCCTGTAGAAGCTGTGGAAGGTGTGACTGAGTTCTAAAAATGGTTATGATGATGACTTTCTAATCTTGTTAAAATGTTTTATTCAGATTGTTTTACATTTATTTTTTAGTCTTTTTCAAATTTATTATGGTGTGTACAAATAACTCTTGCAGTACTGTAAATCTTTAGCTGGCCCACTGATTTAAAAAAAAAATTAATCCAAGGCCAAAGGGAAAATTGTTGAAAGTGGATTTTGGGGAGAATATAACTGGTTACATTTTATGCTATATTTACCATTGTTATTTTTTTTCTTTTTTTAATCTATACTAGATTTTTTTTTAGAGGACAAAAATGAAGACTTTCTTTTAGCTCAACTTGGATCAAAATCACTAGTTCTATGGTCTTTCCTTGATGAAAATGAAAACTTTCAAGGTGTGCAGGCATTTTCTCATCTGGTCAAATAAAACTTCACCAATTTGATTTTTTGAGACCTTACAAATTCATAGTCTATTCCAGTTCCTTTAGGTTTCTTATCTTCTAATTCACCTAGAAAATTAAGTTCTAAATCATTCACCACTAATATACCACAGGGAATAGGAAAATATTCTCTTTCTAACTCATCTCTTTCTTTTCAAGCTGGAGAACAATTCATAGTTGTATTAGGTGGATAATAGTTTTCAAAAGTTCAAACTGAAAAACACACTTGTCTTGTTTGGAAGATAAAACTTTTAAACTCCCTTCAGTTCTATTTAAGAATTGAGCATTTTCAGGGGCAGCTAGGTGGTGCGGTGGATAGAGCTCAGGCCTTGGAGTCAGGAGGACCTGAGTTCAAGTTCGGCCTCAGACCAAACACTTGATACTTACTAGCTGTGTGACCCTAGGCAAGTCACTTAACCCCAGTTGCCTCAAAAACCCAAAACATTTCCCCTTATCTTGTCTTTTTTGCTCTCCCAACTTGGCTACAATTGGGAATACAAAGAAAATCAATCAATAAACATTTGTTAGGCACTGTGCCAAATAAACACTAGGGATGGGAAAAGCAACAAAAGATAGGCCCTGCCCTCAAGGAGCTTACAATCTAATGGAAAAACTCATAGCTTTGAAATTTTTTTTCTTTTCTTCCTTCTTTTTTCCTTCCTTCTTTCCTTTTTTTTTCTTAGTTTCTTCTTTCCTCCCTTTCTCTCTCTGTCTCTGGCAATCCGGGTTAAGTGACTTGCCCAGGGTCACACATCTAATAGGTATCTAAGGCCAATTTTTAACTCCAGTCCTCCTGACTCCAGGGCCAGTGCTGTATTCACTGTGCCACCTAGCTGCCCCTGTAGTTTTCTCAATGCAGAGAGCAAAGGGGCTGTACTGCAGTTTTTTCAGCTGTCCCAGTTTCTCGTCTCTAGAAGGTCTCAATTTGGTGAGATCACCTTTTTTGCATGCACCAGCAGTTCTTGAAGATGAGATTTTGAGAGTCTGAGCCAGCAGTCTCTTCGTGGTTGCCTGAATTTTCAGGGTCCTTGCTAGCCACTGTACAAACAAGCCAGCACAGGTTACAGACAGGTTACTCATACACTGTAGTTTAATTATTCACTCAAGAGTGTGACACACACCATCAGTGAGCGATAATTCCATAGATCTCCAGATCTCTCTCTCTCTCTCTCTCTCTCTCTCTCTCTCTCTCTCTCTCTCTCACACACACACACACACACACACACACACACACACACGGTCTCTTTTTTTTTTAAGCAAGCAGGGTTGACTAGGATCACACAGCTAATAAGTGTCTGTGGGCAGATTTGAACTCAGGTCCTCTGGGCCAGTGCTCTATCCACAAAGCCACCTAGCTGTCCCATACATATAGTCTCTCCTCCCGAGCTATGCAACCCAGAGTTTGGTCAGGTTAGTCATAGACCAGAAAAGGTACATTTTTATAAAAAGAAAAAAAGATTCTTAAACGGTTCATTCAGTATCCTCTCTTCCTTTGAGGTTCATGCTCTTCGTATCAACCACCCTATCAAAATCCTGGTAGTTGTCTCCAGATGCCCAGGTGACTCCCCTTCCTTCCTTGATGAGTTCAATATATGGCTTATATTTTTTTCTCTCCTCCCCAACTCCTGCCCTCGTACTAGGGGACTTCAACATATAAACTGACTCTCTCTTGAACACCCTAACCACTCAGTTCCTCAATGTACTTACTTCCCATGAGCTACTCCTTCATCCCACCTCAGCCACACACAAAGATGGTCAGATCTTTGATTTTGTCATTACCCACAAATGTACCACTTCCATGTTCAAGAAATCTGAAATCCTTTTATCTGACCATAATCTATTGGACTTTCACCTCTCCTTCTGCCTTCTCTTACTAAACCCTATTCTTTGTCCACACTATGACCTCTGATCCCTTAACCCCTCAGTTCTCTCCCATGCCATCTGCCCTGCACTAGCCACTCTCTCCTGTTTTCATCTTGACTCCTTGATGAGCCAATTCCACTTTACACTGGCCTCCTCTCTTGAATCCCTAACCCCCTTATCATATCCTCAATTATACCCAGCCAGTGAACCTTGGATCACTCCCGCCATTTGTTGCCTTCATACCTACACACATGCTACTGAATAAAAGTGGAGAAATTCATACAACTGTTCAAACAAGTTTATGCTACATAACTTCAACTGGGCCCTCACTGCTGCCAGGCAATCCTACTGTGTCTCCCTTATCAACTCACTCTCCCACTCTCTGTAATGGCTCTTACAAATCTTTCCATCCCTCCTCAAGCTTCCCAAAGCTCCCTTTTCTCTCCACTCTTACCTTACCTCATATTTTACAGAAAAAAAAATAAGGCCATTCACCATGAGCTCCCTCTTCTCCCTCTTTCATTATCTCCTATCACTCAGGTACTTTCTGGCACTCACTCCCCTCCAAAATGAACAATGATCTTTTAGTTGCCGAATCCAGTGGCCTTTTCTCAATCCTCATTTTTCTCTATAGCCTTTGACACTGTGGGTCTCTTTCTTCTCCTTGAGATTCTCTTCTCTCTAGGTTTTCAATACGCCATTCTCTCCTGGTTCTCTTCCTACTTATCTGACCATTTCTTTTCTGTCTCCTTTGTTGGATCTTCTTCCAGATCACAACCTCTAACTGTAGGTGACACCCAGGATTCTGTCCTGGGTCCTCTTCTCTTCTCCCTGTATACTTTACTCGATCATCTCATCAACTCCTATGGATTTAATTACCATCTTTATGCAGATGATTCTCAGATCTACCTCAATCTCTCTGTTGACCTCCAATCTCACATCTCTAGTTGCCTTTCAGACATCTCAAAGATGTCCAGTAGACATCTTAAACCCAATATGTCTAAAATAGAACTCATTATCTTTCCCCCATAAACCCTCTTCACCCACCACCTTTCCTATTACTGTAGAGGGCAACACCATTCTTCCAGTTCCTCAGGCTTGCAACCTGGGAGTCACCCTGGACTCCTCACTCTCAGCCCCTACATCCAAGCTGTTCCCAGGGTCTGCCAATTTCACCTCTGTAACATCTCTCTTGTCTGTCCCCTTCTATCTTTTGACATTGCCCCCACTCTTAGGTGGGTACTTACCCTCATCCCCCTCACCTCAGACTAGTGCAGTAGTTGCTGGTGGGTATGCCTGCCTCAAGTGTCTCCCCCAATTCCAATCCATTCTCCATTTAGCCACTAAAGTAATTTTTCCGAAACACAGATATGATCATGTCACGCCTCCCTCTTACTCAATAAAGTCCAGTGGCTCTCTATTACCTCCAGGATCAGATACAAAATCATATGTTTGGTATTTGAAGCCCTCCATAATTGAGCCCCTCTTCTACCTTTCCAGTCTTCTTATACCCTACTCCCCGACATCTATTCTTAAATATAGAGACATTGGTTTCCTCACTGTTCCAAAAGAAAGATTATCCCTCTCTAGGCTGGTGGCATTCTCTCTGGCTGGCCCTCATGCTTGTGATGCTATCCTTTTTCTGCTCCAACTACTGACCTCCCTGGCTTCCTTTAAGTTCCAGCTAAAATTCTATCTTCAACAGGAAGCCTTCCCCAACCCCTCTTCATCCCACTGCTTTCCTCCTATTAATTATCTTCTATTTATCCTATGTATAGCTCTGTGTGTGTGTGTGTGTGTGTGTGTGTGTGTGTGTGTGTGTGTGTACCATATTGTTCTTCCCATTACTTTGTAAACTCCTTTTGCCTCTTTTTGCATCCTCAGAGCTTAGCATAGTGACCACCATAGAATAGGCGCCTTTGTTTTTGTCCAGTCATTTCAGCCAAGTCTGACTCTTCATGACCCCATTTGGGGTTTTCTTGGCAAAGGTACTGGAGAGGTTTGCCGTTTCCTTCTCCAGCTCATTTTGCAGACGAGGAAACTGAAGCGAAAAGAGTTAAGTGACTTGCCCACGGTCACACAGCTAGTGAGTGTTTGAGGTCAGATTTGAGCATGAGTCTTTCTGAACTCAAGTCCAAGCTCAGTGTTCTGCTCTGGCAAATAAGAGCTTAATAAATGTTTGTTGAATTGAATTGGATGGTTACAAAGACCTTTATTTAGCAAATCATTTACACCAGTCCAAAAAAAAATTATTTTCATCAGCCAATTAATTAGCATTTGTTCTGCTCTACTAAGTATCTTCTTAGAAAGTATAAAGAGAGAAGTAGGTTAGTTCCTGGAAACTATGTAAAGTCTTGTGATTTCC